CCCCTTGGCTCCTTCTTACTGCTGTCTTTCAGCCACACCTCTGATCTTCTGGTAGGAAAGATCTTCACCTTGCCTTCTCGAACAAGGATGAAAAACCTCGGAGGTCCCGTGCGCAAATTGCACACACGTTAAAGATCCCTTGGTGGTCCAAAATCGATAAGAGTAGGCTTCGGCCGCCACCCGGGCAAAATTCAAATTTCCTACCAACTGAAAATGCTTGGTGTGTCCCGGGTCTCATATGACCTTATGCAGTTGTGAGCGCCGAAAACACTTACAAAAAAAAAAAGAAAAAAGAAAAAAGAAAAAGAAAAAGAAAAAGAAAAAAAAAGAAAAAAACAAGAAACATTTGACGGAGTCACACACCGAGAAGTCGAGACATTTTATAACCAAACATTAGCTATAAAGTACAAGTAAAAGTTTAAGAAGGAGAGATTAAATCAAACTGTATCTTTCCGTGTGTGTCATATTCAGTCACTACCAAAGGATTGTTGAGGCTTTTGTTTGCCGCTGACGACCAAAAGTGATCAACCAATCGTTTGTTGTAGGACGGGTCACGTGGTGTGGACGTTATATACTCTCTGTTCCACTCGCTGGTCGTTGATTTCCGTACATGGTGCACGGACAGCACCGTATTGGTCACTGTAACCACGAGGTGAGGCAACCGTTGGGAACGAGCTTCTAGAAAAGGTATCAGTGTTTGGTCGTCAATGGTTAGATCGGGGACGTCATCCAAACGTACACCGCGGGAATACATGACGTAATACAACGTTCCTTCATCCGCCATATTGAGCTGGCCGAGTTTTGATGACTTCCGGAGGGCTCGGTGAAAAGACGACAGCGAGTCCGACAAGACAGAGCAGGAAGTCACAAACGACCTTCCGGTGAGCAAAACGGGCATGGGTTGAATGCCAGTGTCAGAAAAAGTGTCTGTTCGAACGTTGTAGTTTCGATTCGTTTCTGCGAATGTCCTTCGAATGAACGCCGAGACGGACTCCGGGTGAGCCCCAGGCGTAGAGGAGGCATCTCTGGAGGTGGTGAGGTGGAGGAGTGAGAGGAGAGTGTGGAAGAGGGAGGAGTCGAAGACTGTGCTAGCCTGGATGTAGCCGTAGAACGTGGACTGGAAGCGGGATCTGACGCGGCTAGCCATCTCTCGGAACACCGGAACTCCGTCCTGGTTTCGTTTCGGAACTGTGGAGACAAAAGTGACAATATAAATGGTCGCGTCATTTGGAGAAAAGCAAAAGTTTGGTTGAGGCGAGTACGCCTCTTGTTACTTGATACTTGTTACTTGATACTTGTTACTTGTGTGAAGGAGCGACATCACTGCACAAGGGTCATCCCCATAAGCGCGCCGTCCCCCGAAGAAGCACATCTCCAAGTGTGTAGATGCTGACGGTTCCAAGCAATGGTTGATTCCATAGCCTTCTGCTCCTCCCACTCAGTCTTGATCTTGTGCAGGCGCGCAGAGAGTACACCTCTACGACCCTTGAAGCATACATCAGAATGTAATTGGGCTACAATCAGAATACCGAGAACGTATCTACTTCAAAACTAGTAATGTCTATACAACATCGGAAAAGTAACTGTCCATAGATTTCAGGCATAAGTTTGAAAAGGTTATAATCGCGCTAATCTTGGTAAATAGTTGTATACAATCACCTGGAAAACACGATATGTATAATTTGTATACAATCACCTGGTAAACACACTATGTATAATTTGCATGTATAATTTGTATACAATCACCTGGAAAGCAGGGCCAGCCCAGCGTGTTGGCCGTGGCCACGTTCATGCGGCTGTCGGAGAAGAGGACGGGCTGGACAAACGGGCGCAGGCGATCCAGACTGACCCAGAAGCCCCTGCGCGTCAACTTCTCCACGTCGTAGAGCGGGTCCGGCCACCAGGTGAACAAGGTCAGCAGCGGTGACCTCTGGCCTGACTCGATCTGCTGTGCCAGGGTTCGGAGCCTGTCGCAGAGGGATGGGTCAACTGTGTGAATCTCCTCCAGCCACGTGACAGACGTGTTGTGGCAGAAAAAGGCCTCTGTGAACAAAACCGTGACGTTTTGTGGCGATGTGCTGCCGTCTGGCTTGTTCGGGGTTTTGGCGTCGTGGGATTTTTTGGACTCCAGTTGTTGAATCCTTTTGAGGGTGCCGGCGTTTTCGATTGCGAAATTATGTTCGCCTTTTATTCGAATCTTTGCGCCGTAGTTGAGGTCAGAATTACGTAACTCTTCGTTCTCTGGAAGTGTGAGAAGACTCGCCTCCGTCTCGTCTATGAGTCCCAGCTCCCTCAGAGTCCCGGCGTCCCTGAGAAGGGCCTTGACCCCGGCTCTGTAATCTGTCTCGTTCTGGAAGACTCCTCTGGAGCAGCGGTGGTCGTAGAGGACCCGCCTGTTGGGGCAGGTCTCCCGCAAGTAGGCCAGTAGGTGGACTGTGTGGTAGGCGTGTCGGAGCGCCAACTGGCGGGAGATACATTCTCTTTCCAGTTGGAGGTAGGGGAACGTGTTTTCCAGATTGTCTCTGTGGCTGATTTCGTCGGTGTAGAATATCTGGAGTGGG